CCTCTGGAGGTGGAATATCAGGATAAAAACACCTACAGCTGTGTGGTGAACAATCCTGTCAGCAACCAGACCAGACATCTGGATATCGATCAACTCTGTCAGACATGTTCAGGTAGAACTTTGGTGATATCAGTGAAACTCTTTACAGTGTATCACTTATTAACACCTTAAACCAGTATGAATAGACATGTCAAAGTCTATTTGAAAGAGATTAATGCAGTTTTAAAAGAAGTACTATTCTTTCTACAGACTGTGACTACTACTGGAGTCAAACGACTGAAGCTGTGATCCGATTGGTCGTCTCTGCTGTGGTGGGCGTGGCTGCTGTTGCTGCTGTTGTTGTACTAGTTTATGACATCAGATCCAGAAGAACTGGACTGGAGAGGAAAACCAAGTTCACCAAACAGTAATGTACCTGGTATTATAAAACAAGAATAAACAGTCTTTTTATTTCTGTCACCTAAGTAACGGAACTAATGAGTAAATTAAAAGACAAGTAAGCAATACAGAGCATAAGTTTGACCCCTTGTGTAATCGTTCTTTATGCATTGCATCGTATGTAACACACTTTTTAATGCATGTCTTTGTTTTTATTAAAGCACGCAGGTTCTGAAGAGGAATTCATCAAGCACATAACTGTTGGAATCATAGTTATTGATGATGTGATTGAGTTTATTATATCGATCTTCAGTGATGTTATCCCAGTATAGAAGAAGAAATCTTGATGATGTACCAACTGCCATTGTCAGTTTGATGAGATTTCATGATTTTTTTTTTCTCATGAACATTTAAGTGTTTACCTTTCCTTTTCATTACAAATAGCTAATTATAAAAAAGTTGAAGTGTTAAATGTTTGAAATAAGATTTTTTTTTTATCTGTACTGTACATTTTTTAAAGCTTGTATGCTCAAGAAAACTGGCAATAAAGTGTTTTATTTGGAAGATGTGTTTTTGTAAATTTTATATTTGCTGTAAATATATATATATTGAACTAAGAAAATGAGCCACATTAGGTTACATGAATATTTTAAAAAATTGTATAATCACCCCAAAAAAATGTAATAAAAAATCTAACTCTCCAAAATATTCAATATTTAGAATTGTGTATTAAAGGATAGAGTGCCCTAAATTATTATTTTGCACTTTTTTATAATTTTTTTTTTTTTGTGGGCAGCAAAATAAACTCTTGCATTTATAGTACTTTGTGCATCAGGGAGCCACCATCAATATGCAGAGTATTTAAATCGCTTTGGATGAGCTGGTGTTGGATGCAGGGTTGCCAAATCTGCATTTTTTCCACGGAATTGGGCTAATTTTAAACTTGCGGCAGGTTGATCTTCTCCCGTGGGTTGAAGGTTTAAAATGTTGCATAAATTACATTTGATTGAAATGCATTCTACCTATGATAAAACTGTGGTAGATGTTAAGTTTTGTGAAGGATGACCACTGGTAGGAAGCCTTTTAGCTGTGTTTAAAATCAGTCTGCAAAACGGTGACTGTAAAATAGGCCCTATGTACTTTAGTTATGGAAATTACATATTTTGAGTTTGACATATATGGTCATTGCTCTACTTTGGGGGCTACTTTAACCCCCCTCAAACACACACTCTCCTGTAAGCGAGTAGTCAGGTAAGACAGTCTGCGGCAAGATGCGCATTTCACTGTTTTATATAGTGCAAAGAATTTGAACTAAACTGAAAATGGAGAATCGACAGTACTGACAAAGCAGTGCTCAGAGAAGGTCCTTTACATGGTTCGACACCGTGTGCTGGGTCATCATCCCTCCGTGTTGGGCTTGTTTACATCAGAGTGCGCATGCGCCTTTGACACAGCATACAGCGGTGTTGTGTGGGAAAAAGTATTCTTAAAACGCATTCAAATAATCGGAATAATTTTAATAAATAATTATTCACGGTATTTTGAAGTGCCCACAATAACAATATTGTGCATGTTCATTATCGTGATATATCGTAGGCTAATAACAAACTACCAGCACATATAGCTACAATTCATGCTGGGTGCTAGGCCAGGCCAACATAGTAAAAATCTCCTAGCATGCATTGTGGCAACAATTAATCATGCAGTTGAATCGCAACATTATCTTCTTTACTTATTATCTGCATTTATTTTCGGTGTTGTTTTTGTTGTGACTTTTAACTACCTTGTTTTGTGATGTTTATTACTAGAATTTTTATTTTTTTTTGTTGCTGTTGAGACAGATGAGATAGTGTCAGCGAATAACATATTTAGTTTTTAAAGGTAAGTAAAAGAGCAAATGAGCCACTCCTATTGATCAGACATGTTAAACAGTTTGCCTGATCTTTCTTCATGCTTTGGGCAATTTAAGCGACTTACAATCCATCCACACTGTTCACTCTGGCACCATAAAATAGTCTCAGTTTTATCAAGTTTGATTGACTTTATTGTGTATTTGTACATAGATCTGTATAAGCACTGGATGAACATAAACGTTCACATGAATGGCATCCCAAAAACCCTTAAGATTACACTAAAACACCAATTTCAAGCATCCAAGCCCTGCTTGTTTACAAGTGAAAGATTTTGGCATATGTTGATTTATTTTATATTTAAATGGAAAAAGTCATGAATGGTTCTGTAATTTGAACATTTCAGACTATAGTGTTTACAATTTTCCCTCGTGTTCAAATAGTCAAGCATAAGACAAAAAAAAGCATGATTTATGTCAAAATATAAACATAAAACAAACAAATTAAACGCTGATTAGTATGTCATGCAAAGCA